TTGCTGTGACTTGACATATTTGTCGAGGTACAGCTGACAATGAGATTAAGCATCGTATGTCTTGTATTCACATGATAGGTCATGATTCTCTCATTCCTTTCTTTTCCACCGAAATGACTGCGCGGCTTATTCTAGAGGACAAGAAGATACCTACACCATTACTTTGTAATCTGCTCTTGCCTGACCACCATAAGTACCAGACATTCTGCTGGTCAAACGTTCCCTTTCCCGGGAAGAATTTTTTGGCCGTCAGTACATCAAGTTTTGCCGACGGGCCGTACGGAAAACGTCAACTAAAAATTACCTAACCTTCCTTACGAACGAACATTCCACCATCCAACACAGAGCTTACCCCAGATAGTGCTGCCTTCTGAAATTGCGGATGTATTGGTTCACAGTTGTCTGGTAAGTTGGGAGGGGGAACCGCTTTCTGTGCGACGCATTTTTGCCAGAGCAAGAAATCTGCCGACGTTTGCTACGAAATCAACTGCCAACAAATCTGTCACAGCCACCCATAAGGATGATGCGAGATGATATGCTCAAGTCGATTCCTGAATTTGGGTTGTGAAAATCGTACTATCTCATCATCACTGTTGTCTACGTCATGTTCGTTATCAACATGATCACGATTATCGTCACATCATCGTCGCAATCAGTGCGACACGTCTTCATCACGTATCGTCGTCAATATCGTAATCAAAACCTTCAAGACTAAATTTCACAATGTATTGTACTGCTCGTGTGCTCTTAGTTGCTTGGGGGACGTGGTATAGATCAGCGACAGTACCGGATGCATCTCGCATAATTTTATCCGCTAAGGCAATCTGATGCTCATCATAAATGTTATATCTGACCTTAGAAGGGTTACGAGCTATTTAACATACTCAGATGTATGAAAATTTTTTGAAGTTTGTGTTGTAGCATATCGGGAGCATGAGGTTTCGAAATGCCGCTCGATTTGAGGGTGAGGTGGCTGTAACAGACAAATGATCAGTGACGCATCTGACACTGCAAGTACTGAAATACCGTGCAGTCGCGACGTGTTTAAGTAACCTCTATGCAACTAAGAGTAGGGGTGCGGTGGGATATACCTTTAAATTCGTTCTTGGGAAAGTTATACGCTATTTAGTATACTCTGGT